TTTTCTATTTTATTATTAATAAATTATTAAAAAGGAAAGATTATAGCCCAATTTATATTAAAAGAAAAAAAATTTAATTTGATTTTCTTGTCTATAATACAAATCTTATTTTATTTACGCATTTATAAACATGAATGAAATTACATATAAATCCGTATACAATTTAAATTTTAAAGAATGTAATTCTTTATAATATAGTCATGTTAATACACATAATACACATAATATTCTGTAAAGAAACTGTGATGCTGTAAAAAGTTCGTGTAAAGTTATAGTGCTGCACTAAATTCGTATTCATCTCATTTAATGTGCGTCAGTTGTGGTCGTTACAGTGATGTTCGCCTCATGGACTTCTTTTATAGGCGTTATTTTCGAGTCACGCCGTAGGGAAGCCGTAAATGTACCGAAACAAGACTTGTCTTGCGAACCATATTGCCACGCGGTTGACCCTTGTCGTTTTACGAATATTTATTATTCCGGTCGTTAAGGACGTAATACTTTTATTTCTCGTGTAACTGACAAAAAAAAAATACGTTCGAGAGAACATCATGCATGCATGCATCTTCTAGCCATAAAAAAAAAGGATTGCAAAGAATATAAGATGCTTTTTACACAATAAACTTATATTTAAAATTTTTAATACTTTATAAAAATATGTTAAAGGAGAAATGTATGCAAAGCATTTATATAAAATCACATCCAGATATAACGATTATCCAGATATATCGTTGACTTCAGCGTTTAATGCGGATTTGATCGACCAAAGATATTATTAATTGCACAAAGCGACAACAGCAACTCGTGTCTACTCATTGTCTGTTGGCATCGACTGATTGCGCAGGGCTCCACACGGAAAATCTCGTCGATCGCTGTAATTTGTCTGTCAGATTGCCTGCCAATCGCAAACGAGATACGTGCCAATTCGTACGGGTCAACATGATGTGTTCACCCTTCATCTCTTCGCGTCTGTCTCTTGCGTATTCGCGTTCGATTAAATTTGATTTTGGACGATAGAGTCATACGGTTGTCGAGGTATTATAAACGTCAAAATAATTCAATTCGTATGTTTCGTTTGTAGAAAAGCTGTAATGATTCTCTTTTATTATTTTTCGAATGACGAAATTTAATGAGGCCATTTTTAAATTTTTAATTTGTAAATAAAAATGCATAAAATTATAGTGAATGTTAATATGTATTACACTAAAAATACTTATATGCAAGATTAAGATAATCAT